GGGCACGTTCTGCATGGAGCACTGGGTGTTATGCACAAACAATGAATCATGGAACACTACATCTAAAACTAATGATGTAATGTACGGGGATTAACATAAGAATAAAAAAAAAAGTATGAATGTGAAATAAATAAAAAGAGACTTAAAAAAAAAAAAATATGGGGCACCTGGCTGGCTCAGTCAGTAGAGGAGCATGCAACTCCTGATCCTGGGGTCGTGAGTGTGAGCCCATGTAGAGTTTACTTAAAAAAAAAAAAAATTTAAAAATACACATAATAGGAATGCAGTCCTACTAAATTTAATAGGAAGATTAACAATAGCTCTTAATTTTAAACACACTTACCAAAATAGAACATTTTTTCCTCTAAAAAATTTTTTTAAAGATTTCATTTATTTGAGAGAGAGCAAGAGTGCATGCAGACAAGTGGGGGGGGGAGGGGCAGAAGAAGAGGGAGAAGCAGACTCCCTGCTGAGCAGGGAACCTAACGTGAGGCTTGATGCCAGGACCCTGAGATCATGACCTGAGCCAAAGGCAGATGCTTAACTGACTGAGCCACCCAGGTGCCCCTGGAGTATTTTCTTCTTACAAAAGTTAGAATCTTCTACTCAAGACAATACTGTCAATCCAATCACACTGAAAAATTTCTAGATCCCAACTGAATGGATCCACATTGGTTTCCAAAATCTTCCTGTGTAGACCAACTGTTTGGAAGTTGAGATCAGTCACAAATAACGTTCTTGTCAAAAAAGACGTATATGTTTAACTCTTGCAGTTGACTGAGCACTCTCCTGCTGATTAAACAAAGGATTTGAATTTCAACCTATTAATATTTTCCATGAATATTTCATAATAACTTTTAGCAAATTAGAGGAAATTTAATGAACTAAGGGTGTGTCAAGATAAACGCTAAGTCCAACCTGGGCTGGGTATTCATCATCTTTAATAGAAAGGTGACAAACATTCTTTCATAAAGATGTGCTTCTGTAATGGTAAAGCAAGTTCACGAACTTTCGTTCAGAAAGACTGTATACAGACACAACCACATGTAGCCCTTGGACTCAGCTGTGATTTAAACACAGTGAGAGACAAGCAGTTACTTCATAAAATAAACGGTTTAAACCTTAATGATCCTTCACTTAAAGTCAATGACTAACGTGAGTGAAGGCTTAACATGGAGTATAAAACACCACAAACCTTTTGATTTCTTTACGTCAGGTTCAGGCTCAGATTCTCGGATGAATTGCCCCAAGTCACTTACTCTTCCAAATGTCATCTTCCTAAATAAGTACAAAAAGAACATAATTTCTAACAACAAATTTTAAATTAAGGAAAGAACGCCTCCCCGCAAACAAGAAAAGAAAGATTCCATTCTTAAGCATCTCATCTAAATCTAGAAGCTAGAAATACAACGTATAGCTAGCTCATGTTATTCAAAGCAAGGCTTATTTCAAATAGAACTATCCCCAAAGAAGCAAAATACTCTTTAATTCAATGTAATTCCATTCAAAATCCCAAAAAGGTTTATGAAACATGATGGGTGAAGAGGTAGCTCACAATTCTAAAATTTACACAGAAGAGAAAAGGCATAAAATAAAAATAGCCAAGATAATTTTGTAAAAGAGATAAAAAGGTAGGAACCTGCCCTAGATCAAAATGTGTACTATGAAGCTAGAATAATTATATACAATAATTAAACATGCTATAAAGCTATAACAATATAAAAAAGTTAAAAGGCAAAGAACATAGTGAAAGGTCTTATTTAACAGGTATTACTCATCAATAATAAATATTAAAAAACATACAGAATTCCAACAAGTCACTAAGAAATCATACAACAGAAAAACATAAATAGGAGACGAATAGTCAATTCATAAAGAAAAACCTGAACAACCAGCAAAATGCCAAAAGAAGCTTAATCTCATGAGCAGTAGTCCAGATTGGTAAAAAATCAAACATTTGAGGTTATTTAGTGTCAATAAAGATGTGGGGAAAATTAGTATCTTTATTAATGGGGGGTAAGAATGCAAAATATACAGATACTTTTAAAGGTAAATCGGTAAGATCTATTAAAATTTAAAATCTGCTTCTTCATCTGCCTTCGGCTCAGGTCATGATCCCAGGGTCCTGGGATCGAACCCCGCATCGGGCTCCCTGCTCCGCGGGAAGCCTGCTTCTCCCTCTCCCACTCCCCCTGCTTGTGTTCCCTCTCTCGCTGTGTCTCTCTCTGTCAAATACATAAAATCTTTAAAAAAATAAAATAAAATAAAATAAAATCTGCTTCTTGGTATAAGTGAATAAAAGGAAGTCTTTTGCTATTCTGTGTGTAACAGTGAAAAACTGCAAGCAACTTAAATACTCATCAATACCAAAGGGCCAAACAGTGGTCACGGTTATGAGCTATAATTAATATTATATATAGAATACTACATAGTCAAAATGAAGTAAATCTGTATAGATTAACAAAGAAAAATCTCCAAAACTCACTGTGAATGAAAGCACAAGATACCGAATAAAGTATAGTATCAATTACACAAATATAAGCAAACAAAAATACATACTGTAACATAACAGTGATTATCCTGAGTAGGAAGGGGAGAGAATAAGCATTGGTGTGTGACCAAAGGGGACATTAGCCTTATCTATCCATTTAATTTTTATAAGAGATTAATGTATTTGTAATTAAAAGTTAAGTAGAAAAAGAAACTCTGTGATGCCTATGTATTATTTCACTCTGCGCACAGTGGGTCTTATTTTAGGGCTATTGTTCCTAGTAAGTCATCATTTCACATGTGGTTGCAATACACCAATGGATACAAATTTGTCTGCCTTGAGAAAAATTTCAGGAAGATGTCAAAACCATAAAGCTAAAACAAACACTGAAAACCATCTTTAAACGTTATTTCTCTATTTCTGACCCATTTTCTACAGTATCTGTTAAAATATATTTATTTTACACACACAAAAAACTTACAGAAGTAAAACATTTTGCAACTGACAGACTGTCTTAAGTAGGGTTTTAAGTAAATGAACCAACCATTCCCTAATAAATATAATCTTTGGTAATTAAATCATGTAGGCTTACTGTCCACCATTTCCTAAAAGACGAGCTAAAGATTACAACACTGACTCAGCTGTAGTGTGCTTTTTGAAGACAATGTAGTCAAACAGCCCTTTATTTACTTCTGAGTGCTTTCCAGGATTCCTTGGTCTCCCAAGTATCACTGTTACTTTCTGACAAAATCAATTAAACATGTTGAAATCCCTTTTTCATGGTGATGCCAGGACTGCGGTTGGGGTTGGGGTAGGGTAATTAAGAATTTACACAGGTTTATAGGCTCATCAAGCCATCTTTAGTAAAGAGGAAGTGATTTTATAATTTGATCTGTGGTAAATGCTGGCAAGTGGCATATGCTATGAACTGATGTCTTTTTGTTACAGGATAAAATAAACACCCAATCCTTAAATACAAAGAAATAATTGTATTCCATTTTCAAGTATTAGTTATACAGTCTGTAATAAATGATGCTGGCATCTTTGTACTTTATTTTTATTTTTGATTTTAAGAGAGACTTTGAAATAGCTAACATATGAACCAAATGAAATATGGGAAGAGATATAGCCTAAAACATATCACATACATATGATACTCATCAACCTTGTCTAGTGTGGTGGAATGATGATGGTAATGATATTTATGGAGTGTTTACTAGATACCCGGCATGGTTTTGAATGCTTTTCATGTACCTCATTTAATCCCCTAAACAACCCAATGAAGTGGAGATGAAAACACCGAGACAGAGAAGTTAAGTAGTTTGCCAGTAAGTGGCTGAGCCAAGATTAAAACTGAGGAAGTCGCTCCCGAGCCTCCACTCTCAACTGTGGTCTACTGTATACTATATATAAAAGTGCTGGGTATGTAATAGATTAGAAACAATTTTTAAATTTTATTATTATTTTTTAAATCTTATTTATTTGAGAGAGAGAGAGCACAAGCAGGCGAGCGGCAGAGTGAGAGGGAGAAGCAGACTCCCCACTGAGCAGGGAGCCCAATGTGGGATTCGATCCCAGAACCATGAGATCATAACCTGAGCTGAAAGCAGATGCCCAACCGACTGAGCCACCCAGGTGTCCCCAATTTTTAAATTTTAAATAAAAACATAAAAGATGCAAAACTCGGTAGACTTGTAAAAATTCCAGACACTAGTTAAACTTACCCTGCATATGTCCGCTGATACAAAGATTCTGGATCCAGACTCGCAGCATCCACAATTATCGCTTCATCAAAATTTTTCAGAATTTTAACACTGGCTTTTTTCATATTGGACTACAACAGAAATTGTAAAATTAACAGTATGTTATTCGGGAATCAAACAGTCCCAGGTTTGGATTATGACAGATTTTACAAAATCTTCAGTATTTGAAATACATGTAATTCTCACTCAACCCCATCATTATGGAGATGCTGAACAGCAACGATTCTGAAATGTAACCTCAACATACAACTACGGGAGGAAAGCACAGTATCACAATGTATAACATATGCATTTAATGCCAAATCTGTTTGTTTTCTTTATGATCTAAGTTCCAACAAATGTGCTATCTTCACAGGCATTACATTCCCAAGTGTGCAAGACTCGCATCCACCCAGACATATATAGCTTAGCTACCTTTTACAAATAAACATGAATACTTTTGATTTTCAGTGAGGCTATGTGACAATGGAGAAGCTAAAGAAATCTTTCTAAAATGACCAGCTAGATGAGTGTAGTAAGTTCCCCTCCAGCATGTCATCTCCCACTCCTCATCCCACAAAAAAAGCAAGTCAGAATTGGTATTTCTATGAAATACCAGAGCCACGGGTTTTCCCAGATATTCCACCTCTAAAAACTCAATTACAGACAGACTCAGTTCCACAAAATGACTAATAAACAAGATTATTATTCACTGTAGCATTGTTTAAAATAACAAAAGGTGGGAACGTCCTTAATATCCATGACTAAGGGGCGCCTGGGTGGCTCAGCTGGTTAAGCGACTGCCTTCGGCTCAGGTCATGATCCTGGAGTCCCGGGATCCAGTTCCGCGTCGGGCTCCCTGCTCAGCAGGGAGTCTGCTTCTCCCTCAGACCCTCCCCCCTCTCATGTGCTCTCTTTCTCATTCTCTCTCTCAAATAAACAAATAAAATCTTTAAAAAAAAAAAAATCCATGACTAAGATATAGGTTAAATTAATAAAATAAAAACTGAACAGACACTTATAGAACACACTCTACAGTGGGGGGTGGGGGGAGGGGTTCTCTTTATGTGCCAGGAAGGGTAGATAATTAAAAAGAAAGAGGCAGGGGCGCCTGGGTGGCTCAGTCGTTAAGCATCTGCCTTCGGCTCAGGTCATGATCCCAGGGTCCTGGGATCGAGCTCCACGTCGGGCTCCCTGCTCGGCGGGAAGCCTACTTCTCTCCCTCTCCCACTCCCCTGCTTGTGTTCCCTCTGTCGCTGTGTCTCTCTCTGTCAAATAAATAAATAAAATCTTAAAAAAAAAAAAAAAGAAAGAGGCACCAAAATAAAGAAGAGAGAACACTTCTTTGAGGCCACTGTTAACTCAGATACCAAAACTGGACATCATAAGAAAAGGAAACTAAAGGTCAATCTCTTGTGAGTATAGATCCTAATAAAATACCAGCAAACAAGTCTAGCAATATATAAAAATAATTATATATCATGATCAAGTGAGATTTATCCCAGAAATGCAAGGTTGGTTTAACATCTGATAATGGGGCGCCTGGGTGGCTCAGTTGGTTAAGCGACTGCCTTCGGCTCAGGTCATGATCCTGGAGTCCCGGGATCGAGTCCCGCATCGGGCTCCCTGCTTGGCAGGGAGTCTGCTTCTCCCTCTGACCCTCCCCCCTCTCATGTGCTCTCTCTCTCTCTCTCTCTCAAATAAATGAATAGATAATCAAATAATGTAGTACAACCGTATCAAAAAGTAAACACCAAAACCCACATGACCATCTCAATTGATACAGAAAGAACATTTGACAAAATCCAACACCCTTTCCTGATCAAAAAAAAAAAAAAAAAAATCCAACAAATTAGAAATAGAGGGAAATTTCCTCAACTTGATAAAAAGCATTTATGAAAAACCCATACCTAACATTATATTAAAAGATGAAAAACTGAAAGCTTTCCTCATGAGGTCAGGAATAAAACAAAGATGCCCATTTTCATCACTTTCCATTCATTCAACAATGTACTGCAAGTTTAAGCCACGGCAATTAGGCAAGACAAGGAAATAAAAGGTACATTCAATGTAGACAGGTAGAAAGAAAACTATTTCTATTAACCGATGACACAATCTCATATATAGAAAATCCTAAAGAATCCACAAGAAAGGAGCACCTGGGTGGCTCAGTTGGTTAAGCTTCTGCCTTTGGCTCAGGTCATGGTCCCAGGGTCCTGGGATTGGGTCCTGCATCGGGCTCCCTGCTCAGCGGGGAAGTCTGCTTCTCCCACTGCCTTTCCCCCTTGGCTTGTGCTCTCTCTCTCATTCACTCTCTTTCTCTCAAATAAATTAAAAAAAAAAAAAAAAGTATCCACAAGAAAACTACTAAAGTTAACAAAAGAATTTAGTAAAGTTACAAGGTACAAGATCAACACAAAAAGTTCATTTCCATGCATTACCAATGAATAAGAAAATGAAATTAAGAAAATAATTTTATTTATAATAACATCAAAAAGAATATTCAGGACAAAAATGACGCCAGGACATATAAGACTTGTACACTGTAACCTACAAAACAGTGATGAAAGAAATTAAAGACAGCTTAAATAATGGGATGACATCCCCTGTTCAGGCTGGAAAAAGACTTAATATTGTTAAAATGGCAATACATCCCAAAGGAATCTACAGATTCAATGTAAACCCAATCCTAGAATTCTTATGGAATTGCAAGGGACCCGGAGTAGCCAAAATAATCTTACAAATTGAAAAACACAAAGTTGGAGGACACACAGTTCCTGATTTCAAAACTTGCAAAGCTGTAGTAATCAAAACAATGTAGCATTGGCATAAGATACACGTAGATCAACACAGAACTGAGTGTCCAGAAATAAACCGGTGTATCTAAGGGCAAATGATTTTTGACAAAGATGCCAAGATCATTCAATTTACGTAAAAGAATAGTTTTGTCAATAAATGGTCCTGGGACAACTAGATATCCACACGCAAAAAATAAAGTTGGCCCTTATCTCATACAACATGCAAAACTAACTCAAAATGGATCAAAGGCCTAAAACTCTTAGAAGAACACAGGTGGGCATGGGGAGTGACTGCTTAATGTTCCATTTGCGAGGTTTCCATTTGGGGTGATGAGAAAGTCTGGAACCAGATAGTGGTCGTGGCTGCACAGCACTGTGAACAGACTGAATGTCACTGAATTAGACACTTATAACAGCTAACTTTATGTTAGGTGAATTTTACCACAATTACAAAAAACTGTATTTCTATACGTTTACAATGAAAATATGAGCGTAAGAAAGAAATTCCATTTATAATAGTATAAAAAAGAATAAAATACTTAGAACAAACTTAAGAAATACATAACTGATACTTGAAAACTACAAAATGTTACTGGAAGAAATTAAAGAAGATCTGAATAAATGAAAGGCATCAACTATGTTCATGGGTCAGAATATTTAATATTGTTAAGATGTCAATTCATCCCAAATTATCTATGGAACCAATGCACTCCCTATCAGAATCCTGGCTGGAGTCTTCGTAGAAGTTGACAAACTGATCCTTAAATGCATTTGAAAACTCTAGGGACCTCGAATAGTCAAAACAATCTTGAAAAAGAAGAACTAAGCTGGAAGACTCTCCCTTCCTTCCTGATTTCAAAACTTGTTACCCAAGCAAAAGTAACTAAGACAGAGTTAAACAGTTATCATTTGAGCTAACAATTCTACTTCTAGGTATATACACAAGAGAAATGAAAACCTATATCCACACAAAAACTTGTACAGCAGCATTATTCATAATAACCAAAAGAGAGAAACAACCCAAACGTCCATCAACTGATGGATTAACAAAATGTGGTGTGTACAATGGAATATTATTTGGCCATAAAAAGGAATAAAGTTGTGGGGTGCCTGGGTCACTCAGTCAGTTGAGCGTCGGACTCTTTTTTTTTGTTTTAGACACAGTGAGAGAGGGAACACAAGCAGGGGGAGTGGGAGAGGAAGAAGCAGGCTTCCGGCGGAGGAAGGAGCCCGAGGTGGGGCTTGATGCCGGGACCCTGGGATCATGACCCAAGCCGAAGGCAGATGCTTAACGACTGAGTCACCCAGGTACCCCCTGAGCGTCAGACTCTTGATTTTGTCTCAGGTCATGATCTCAGGATCCTGGGACCGGGGCTAGCATCAAGCTCCCTGCTCAGCAGGGAGTCTGCTTCTCCCTCTCCCTCTGCCCCACCCCTGGCTCATGCTGTCTCTCTCTCTAAAATAAATATTTTTTTTTAAATCAACAACAAAAACAAACAAAAAAAGGAATAAAGTTCTGATACATGCTACACATGGATGAACCTTGAAAACAGCATGCTAAGTGAAAGCCTGTCTCGAAACCACACATCATATGGTTCCAATTATATGAAATGTCCAGAATAGGCAAATCTATAGACAGAAAGTAGATTAGTAGTAGCCTAGGGCTGGAAGAATTGGAAGATTTGGAGGGTATTAGTTAAAGGACACAGGGTTTCTTTCTTAGGTGAAAAACTTTTTAAATTGGCTGTGGTGACAGTTAAGGAACTCTATGAATATACTAAAACCACTAAATTATACAACATAAATGGGGGAATTATATGGTATGTGAATTGTATCTCAATAAAGCTGTACCAAAAAAAGAAAGAAAGAAAAAAGAGCATATACAGAATGATTTCAATTATATAACTATTCTGAATAGGTAACACTAACCTATACCATCAAAGTCAGGATAGTAGCTATCCTGGCAGGGAGGACAGTGACTAGAAGAGGGCACAAGAGGGTTTATAACATACTGGTAATGTTGTGTTTTTTGATCTGAATGTTGGATACACAGATCAAGTCTGTTTATGAAAATTCTTCAAGCTACATATGATACATTGAGTTTTCTGTATATATATTAAACTTCAACCGAAAATGTAAAAATATGTTTTAAGGTCAGCACCTAGACCTTTTAAGTGCTTAAATAACAACAAAACATTCTAGCCTATATCAAAAAACAAAATGGCAACCACATTCAGCAGGTCACTTGCCACATAAGCTAAATAGGAGGAAAACGTACTGAGGAGAGCCTTGTTGATGGTAATAAATAGTACTGTCGTATAAATTAAGAAAATTTATCCAAGGCCCTGTGTCAAAAAATCTGAAGTATTATTTATGTGTCAACAGTGTGATGAGAAAATAATTATGCTACATTATGGTAGCAGGGAGCCCAATGGGGGACTTGATCCCAGGACCCCGGGACCATGACCTGAGCCGAAGGCAGACGCTTAACAACTGAGCCACCCAGGCGCCCCAAAATTAGTTAACTTAATACCTTCCTAGATCTCTTCTCTCGGGGACAACCCATTTAAATGACCCCATTTGGGGGAGAATCAGATAAGGTTTGATACATGAAAGCACTCCAAAAAACCAAGTAAGATTAAGGAAATATACAATGGCACTACAGTTCAAAATGAAACCAAAAACTCTTTGGTGAAATACAATATTAAGAAAGAATTGGTTTTTTTTAAAGATTTTATTTATTTATTTGACAGAGAGACACAGCGAGAGAGGAAACACAAGCAGGGGGAGTGGGAGAGGGAGAAGCAGGCTTCCCACCGAGCAGGGAGCCCGATGCGGGGCTCGATCCCAGGACCCTGGGATCATGACCTGAGCCGAAGGCAGACGCTTAACGACTGAGCCACCCAGGCGCCCCAAGAAAGAATTGTTAAGAATTATTCTAGGGGCGCCTGGGTGGCACAGTTAGTTAAACATCCGACTCTGGGTTTCAGCTCAGGTCATGACCTCAGGGAAGTGAGATCAAGCCTGCTGCCCTCGGTGTGGAGTCTGCTTGCGGTTCTCTCTCCCTCTCTGTCTCACTCTGTCCCTCCCACTCATGTTCAGGCGGTCTTTCTCTCTAAAATAAAGAAATAAATCTTAAAAAAAAAAAGAAAAAGAATTATTCTATAAAAAAGCATCCCAAATGTAGTTACTAAAATTTCCCAAATAATTACACAAAGAGCTCTTCAGAGGCTATAAATGCATGTGGCATAATTGATGACTGATACCAGCAGCTGGAGTGTGAGGCAGAAAAATGGCCTGAACGAAACAGCACAATACCTTACAATATAATATACTGTTCACTACAGATATTCTTATTAAAACATATAGTAAGTAGGCTAATTGTATTTTCTTCTTTGTTTCTTCTACAACAAAAACTCCCAAACAGAATCTGCTATTGGTATTTGAAGGACATGATCTGTAACCCTTTCTTCCAATTGGCAGAGGCTAACTGATTAATACCTGAGCAGCCGAGCTGTCGGAACCACCTGGGTGAGAGTCATCAGGAGGGCCGACAGAGCCATGAGCAGTCAGTGAAACAGTTCCTCCCAGAAACTCATCTCCTCGAACCGAATGGATGAGATCATTCAAATACTTATAATAAAGATTGCTAGACAAGAAGCCAGGCAAAAAGACCTGAAAGAGAGGACAAGCATTATTTTAAAGGTGAGACAAATACAATTAAAACTTTATTTGAAAACAAAATTTTATGCACAATTCTACCAGCTAGCACAAATGATTTTGCTTTTCTTTGTTATACTCCAAGTATTACCCCTTCGTGTACAGTTCACGTTGTGACTAAAATTATGAGTACAATTTATAGGTGTGTGTCCCCCCCCCCCAACCAATGCCTGCCATAAAACTATTACATAGACTTGATATTCAGACTTCTTAGTGACCAGAAAACATGCAGGGAGTGAATCTAATCTGAAATTAGATTTTTCTGGTTATAAATATTAAAGTCTTTGTGCACATATTAATTTTTTTTACTTCTGAACTGATTTCCTTAAGATAAATTACCAGGTGTGTGATTATTGAGTTAAACGGTGTGAACGTTTTAGCTTTGATATATATGGCCAATTTACTCTTCAGAAGGATGTTGTCAATTTGTATCATTCGCAGTATACTAAGGTATCTGTTTTGACACAGGCTTTCCAACACCTGAGTGTGTTTTTCCAAATCATTAAGTAAGTGCCTAACGGGGCGCCTGGGTGGCTCAGTTGGTTAAGTGACTGCCTTCGGCTCAGGTCATGATACTGGAGTCCCAGGATCGAGTCCCGCATCGGGCTCCCTGCTTGGCAGGGAGTCTGCTTCTCCCTCTGATCCTCTCCTCTGTCATGCTCTCTTTCTCTCTCATTCTCTCTCTCTCAAATAAATAAAATCTTTTTTAAAAAGTGCCTAACGATATATGGATGTTTTTATTTCCATTTAAAAATTATTAATGATGCCGAATAAGTTCCCATGTTTGTTACCAGCATTTCCTATTACCAACTTTTACTTCACAGCAGTTAACACATGACTGTAACTAGTATGTGTTAAACATGTGCCTTCTTTACAGACAGAGCTCCAGGAGGGCAGGAACCACGTTTCTCCTGATTACCACTAAAACACCAATACCTAGCACAGAAATTATCTAAGTACTGATCATCCATGTCTTTTTCTCATTCATCTACTCGATACTATTAAAATTAGTGTAAGTTCTTTACATATACACATTTTATAAGAAAAGAAATATTAACACTGTTTTTCTCTGTATTTTCATTTTCTTTTTTATCCAGCAAGTTTACATTCTTTACATGATACAGATTTGGAACTTTACCTAATTTAAGATCAGAAAGATTTTAATTTTAATGATGAAGAACTCTTTATCCCTGGGCAATAGCTGATACTCTATTCAGCTTACCATGAGCTTTTTAATGACTTGATTTTTATATGTAACTCTTCCATGTTCCTGAAATTCAGTTCTTATGTGGGGTATTATTTAACAGTGCTTACTTAACCCTTTTCCACCTAGAAACACACGACATATATAAACGACATAACCTCATGACTTATCCTGCACTCTGTGCAATTCCTGGTAAAATCTGCTCTAGTTCATTAGAAGAATAAATCATTCACAAATTCTAACACATTATTATTAATAAGCTATTAGTGATACCCCAGAAGTTACGATACACAAAACTAGTGTTCTAGCCCCATTGATAGATATTGATGAAATGTTTGGATCATTTTAAGCTAACTTTGCCCAATACTGCTATCTAATTATTTTTGAAAATTTAATAATAACAGTGGTAATAACTGCCGTTAAAATTTTTAATGCTTACTATGTGCTGGATGCGATGCTGATCATAAGAACTTTATACATCTTACCTCATTTTTATCTTTAAAATAACTTTTAGGTAAGTATCCATATTATCTCCATTTTACAGATGTGGAAAATGGCATTAAAGAATTTCAGTAAGTGCCTGAGGTCATTCAGCCTATAAAGGCTAAATTAATACATACCAAGTCAGACTCAAAGCCTCTGCTCTTAATCACTATGCTCCATTGCTTCAATTTTCCAGTTTTGTTACATTTGTTTTTCTCCCGTGTTATGTTTTCTGGGTTTCACCAGTAAAAACTTCTTGCAGTTTAATATTTTTGAAGTTCTTGGTTACCTTCTCCATGGTCGTCCAGGCCTGACGTAATGGAGTTGTGAAACAGTTAGGGAGTGGCCCACCTTCCCTGCAGATATTGGATTCAATTTCTAATCGTACAACATCATCAAATCCAAGAGGATGTGTGGCTTGGAGGGAGAAGTACCTATGGTAACAAGACAGCCCAAGTCAAACCAAACCTCCTAGCCTGTATAAGCAACTTTTGGCACCTACTCTTCTACGAGGCTACTTGATTCAGCCTGCAGATCTAGGACTTGGGAGCCGGCTCCTAGAGGCCATGCTGCAACCTTTATTCCCACGGCCCCAAAGGTATCTGAGTCAACTTGCTACCTTCCTATCTCCTTCCATCTTCCTTAGTTCTTAAGATTGCTGAGGGTCAGGCTACAACTGAGACAAATCAATCAATCACACATTTTTTTTTTTTTTAAGATTTTATTTATTTATTTGATAGAGAGAGATAGCGAGAGCAGGAACACAAGCAGGGGGAGTGGGAGAGGGAGAAGCAGACTTCCTGCGGAGCAGGGAGCCCGATGCGGGGCTCAATCCCAGGACCCTGGGATCATGACCTGAGC